ACCCTACGGTTCGTTAAAATTGTCATTGTGTGTTGTAAATTCATACCACAAATAAATATTATTTATAGGTACCTATTATGACTTATTYTTACATTATTATTACTTATTTATTATAAGCAYAATTATTATTATTGAAAAATACATATGTATCGTATATTATGTACCTATATGTTACTGCTGTGAATGTCCGCTGTTGGTGAATGCCGACAGTCACCGGTTGATGTCGTCGTATACCAAAATCATTAGTGAATGTTTGTTTATTGATTAAATTTGTGATTTTAGTAAACGTTCACTATAGTGAATGTCGACACTACGATGTTGGTGAATTTTGGTAATGCCGATATTATTTATTCTTATTTAGGAATAACGGAAGGGTCACAATTAATAAATAGTATCTATCATACTATCTCTCTATCTATCGTACTATCTAGTAACTATACTGCAGTATAGGGTATTGTACAAATTGATAATTTTGATCAAATGTTTTTTTACTTGACCCAACTAATCTTATTTTATCTGAATAAACAATTATATCTACAAAAAAGTGTAGTTGTAGAAATGTTGACATTTTATGTAGTACACATTGTCATGACAGTTTATCATGCTGTTATAAATAGGTAATAATATAAAATAATCATAATTTAAATTCCTTTTAATTGTAATAACGCAAAAAATAAAGAAAAAGGGAACAAAATAAAATATAATAAAATAACTAAATTAATACAACTATGTATAAGGCTCCTGCAAATAGTTATATTAATTAGGGGATGATATTAAAAATAAAAGGGTGTTTGGTTGATTTATTAAGTTACACTAAAGAATCTGTATGGTTCTCTACTCTTATAAGAGCTGGAGAATAAGCTACCATCCTCCTTCCTCCTGATCGTCGGAGGGCTCTCGAGATCGTGATTCGAGAATATAATCAAATACACCGTACTAATTATATATTTATAAATAAATTATAAAAAATTAATAGAGATAACTATATGATGCTCATGCRCCTTACCTTATTCGCAGCTGTACTTGATTTATGCAAATGACTTACTAAGGTTAAAAAAAGTTTAAACACTCGAATCGAAATAAATACAACACTGATAAATTTTTGTTAAAATTGAAAAAAAAGTCAGTTGTCGCTCGCAGGATCCGGTGTGATTGATTTTACTGGTGCTCTTGCACTCTTGAGGTTGTTTTAGTGTTGGATGGTGCTCATGCACTGATGAGAGGAGACGACTTGGTCAAGCCAGCCAGGGTCGCAGGCGGCTCCATCAAAGGCCTCTGCGTTTCTAAAGATTTACCGTTATYCTTGGTAGCAGAGACYCTCATAGGGCCGTCCCTTGTCTCTGGCGGCACGCCGGTACACAAAATAGATCACACGAGTGGCGTCATATTGTCACCATTACGTWTGAGTACCTACGTGGCCAAACAATGCAAATCGTTTCTTTCAACAGTGGTTAAAGGTATTTATTGGGTTTTAATGGCTATCTGCGTGCGACAACTTGACCGTTATTTATTTCATTGGATAACTAAGCAATATACAGTAATGATATGTGAGCGTATCATTACATAATAATAATTATTATTATTATTTGATTTAATTAAACATAATATGTTGTTTCTATTTTACAATATTATATGATATATTCAACTATAGTACCTACTACAATACTATAATATTATATGTGCGAATACGTACCTACTATACSTACCTATGTCAACATTGACCAAAACCTTACTGTGTATGTCAAAATTTACCAAAATCCTAACGTAAATGTCAACATCCACTAGTAAATCTCTGTATTATTTTAATTTTTCAACATTCACCAATTTATTAGGTGTATGTTAACATACGCCTGGTGACTGTCAGCATCCACCAATTGCAGATTTTCACAGTAAACATATACATATATTAATATATTATATTATTGAGCAACATTTTTAACCATACCTAGGTATACTAGATAAGTAGATAGTGTTTGAAGTATTTAAACTTATTTGAATTCTAAACAGTCCTAAGTCTGAATAAATGGGAAGGAAATTGCTTCTGGTTGAATATATCATAATTTGATAAGCGAATTTAACAAGGTTGCATTATCATGCAAGCTTGTGGAAACCAATTCATACGTTACTTGTAGACAACTCGGGAACCAACTCGACAACTGTGAACCAATTCGTAGTCGTCCATATTGTTGTATTGATATTCGATTATTTTTATTTATACAGCTGATATGATTATAAACTACCGATTTAAATATTATTTTCCTAACCAAATGTAAACTAATAAATAATGATATCATGTGTACCTATATCATTACATCTACTCCAGTTTTTTTTTAATGTGCCCTCAAACCTATACTTATTATATAATATTGAGAGCCAAACAAAAGAAKAAGAAAAAAATATTAAATTATTTAAATTAATATGTATATACAAATCATTATGCTATATTTTATTACAATTACTTAACATATGATTTAAATTTAATTATACATTGATTTTGTAAAAGTAATATACATATACTTAATATTTATTTTTGGTACTCGTTCAATATGCTATCTGCCGTAAATATTTTATCTACTGCAATTTTACTATAGTATAGTATGACATCTACCGTATGCCCGTATGCTGTATATTAATATACTATACATACTTTATCATTTTGCAATTACGATTTAAGATTAATCTTTTATTAAAACCCCAAATCATATTATATTTATATTTTATACCCTACTAAGTTAGGTAGGTTAGTAGGTATACCTGTTTAGTGTGTGTTTGTGAGTCACGTCGATTATATACGTGGGTTTACTGTGATTTATTTATTATTAAATATTATTTAATAATTATTATTATGAGTTTGCCAACTATGAGTTATTTATATCGACACATAATTCAAAATGAAGAGATGTGCGAAAATTTTTTAAGTATACGCGGTTTATTACCAATATTACCAAAGAAGAAATTCTGCATTATAAAGATAAGGCAATTTACATTTAAATACGTGTTGATATCATACTTCAGCAACATAAAATGACGGTAGATAAAGATATAAAATATTAACGGTAGATAGCGTACTAAACCATCAAACGTGCGGTAGATAGCATATTGAACGAGGACCTTATTTTTTTATTTTAATTTTAATTTGGATTTGAAATTTGCGTTTGGATTTGCATTTTGCATATGACTGGGCTGTGATGGTGTTCTAATTAAATTTAAAATCTTTTAATGTTTTTATATACCTAGTTTTATTTGTTTCTAATTGCTATTTTTGTTGGTTTTCTGAGTTTTGTCTTGGTTGAGAAAGTAAATCAAACCTACATGTGTGTATATCATTACGGATCACATTTAGCTTAAAAACTAGAGTAAATTGACCTCTTATAAAATGTATGGGTAAGATTATTATTTAGACAACCTCAGGTTTTCTATTATATTTTAATGTTCAAGCGAGTTATAAGTATTTTAAGACGTATAGACAATTTATAATTTTAAAATACCTACTTATTAAAATTCGCATCAAAATTAAAATTTAATAAAAAACTTGTGAGGTTGTTCAAATAATAATCTTATATTTAAATTGTATAATAAGTCAATATTCGCTCTAGTTTTTAAACTAACGGAACTAAATGTGTAGATCTGCTGACGCTGAGCGTAAAATTTGTTATGTTACGTACTTGTAAGGTAAGAAGGAGGCAAGGGACAARGCATGCGGATAGAACGTCCTCTTAAATATAATTATATTTTCGAGAACGTAGTCCTCACTAAAAACCGTTCAATATTCTAAGTAACTATACATGTATATTAGCACAACTTGTACAGGAGGTTTAGGTCATAATATATAGCTTAACCATTATAATACATTATAATAATTATCAATAAATATCATATCCATAACTCATAAGACTATATCTAAGAGCTAAGACCCTGCCACTCTGGGTACATGCATTTTCGTCACGTTTTTACCTTAAAAAGGTTATTCAAATAAATAAAAAATGTAGATAATACAAAAACGATGAGAGAAAAAATTGAAATAACTGTAACTCAGTCCATACGAACTAATATTTAACTATATCGTATAGTTGATTTTGATGACCAACCTGCCCGATTTCATGTAAACGACAAAGTTATATACGTTTATATTCGATATGAACTATATATATTTTGAACTTAAACTTCTGCATTTTATTACTAAGTCAGGCGCGGATCAATGGGACAGGCGAAGGGATTTTAGCACCCTCGTTCGTAAATATTATATTATATATTATTTATTTACATAATAAATAATTCGTATTTGTCTTAAAATCCATAAATTTTAAATTTTAAATACGTATAAAATCGTTGATTATGTAATCAAATCTAATCTATGACGTAATCTAATTACTCTACAGTGCACCAAAATTGTATATTTTCCAGAAAAAATTTAGCTCCTCATTTCAGAGTTCTGAATTCGTGAGTGTTGCAATTCATATACTTAAATCGTGACATAATATCACGACTATATCATGTTTACGCATCGAAATGTTACGTAGGTAGTTACTTTTATTACAATATACCTATATAATACTATCTACTTGGAGGCGAGTAAATTAAATTAAATGTGAGAGAGCCTGGACTCGGTGGCGCCAATCTAACGACGCGGGAGKTGGGAGCTATTATAATATCTTCCATCACCATTCCGACAAAATATATTTGTCCAGTCGGATTCTGTTGCCATCGTTATTTTTTCCGCAGATTGATTAGCTTGGCTGCTAGATCTTTTCCGAGTCCATGCAGATCTAAACGCCAATCGTCACGGAATAATKTTTATTTTAATACAATATAATATACTGGGGCACTGGGGGGCCTGTGCAGCAGTGTGCAACGACTGAGGCGATGACGTGCAGTCGCCGGGGAGGCGGAGGCGTCGTCATCGTCGTCCACCTTGGAAGAACCGAAGAAAGTGAAAGAGATGCGTGTTTATAGTATTATTATAGAGGGGCACGTGGACAGACACCGCCGCCTAAATAATAATAATATATCGCCGCGATAACCGACGAACGTCAGTCGATGGCCGGCTCTGTACTATACTGGCGAATCATATAAATGATATATCAAGCCCGATAATAGTAAATTGCGATTAGAACAAAATCGAAAAACAAAAACGTAAATCCTTCTGCAAAATTATTATTCTCGACGATACGGCAACACGACACTTGTAATAGTAATATATAACCGACGGCCGCGAGATAGGCGACCGCAGTCGACGATCATAACTCACCTAAGACACGTACCATTAAATATCATACGCGCAGTGCTGATATCGTACATACACCCGAATTCACGTCCGCAGGTATTCGCCTGACCGTCAGCGCGGCCGACGCCCGTGTAGGTTTTGGGTCCGTCGCCTTTGGACCTTTGGACACACATCCGACGACGTTTTTCGAACACATCCGCGCCCGACCATGTCCATAACATTGCAGCGCCGATGGCCGCTGCTGCTCGTCCTGCAGTGTTCCGTCGCGTTCTTCGCCATCGGCCAGGAGCAAGTTTTGGCGCACCGGAAGTGCGAATCCAGACATTTTGCATCTCTAAACGGAAGCGGATTCGACGAATGTAACAATCRGAATGACTCGTCATTGTCGTCGCACACGGGACAGCTGGACCAACAGCGCCGATACGCCTTTTTGTCGGCCGACGACAATAAGAAYGTTTCGTTTCTGGTTCAAAAAGACTTGTACCGGGGTGAGTAAGAATAGCATAACTATATAATATAATGTTTAACATGATTGATGATTATCACCGTCATCACTGTCGTATTTATAAGACGTATTTCTTATCGTGTCCAGAGTTTTTCGGCATTAGATAGGTACAGTTGTATATATATAAATAATTTTTTTTTACAAAACAATTTTCTCGAAAAATAATATTATGATCAATTTGAACTCAAATTATTGTTAATAATTCAAATCGTTTAAAAAACTTGAATTACTTAAATTACTTAACAGTAATACTTGATTAATTATGAAAATATTTTATCGTATAATGACTGAAGTAGCTTAAAAAACCCGTTGCCTTCTTCTTCGATCACATACCAATTACGTTGCTGAACACCACTGTTGATATTTGCTAGTATTATTATACAACATTACGCACCAATTCAGGGTGAAAATTCCATAATATATTGCAGTGTCAGCATGATGTGATCTAGTCGTGGCTCTGTAAATTTAAAAGATAATCTTACGTACAATCATACATATTATTATGGATTTAGAGTAAATAGTATAGTAAAACAAATTTTGTGCGGGAAAGAGTATCGTTAGATTTTGGACCCATATGGGTTATAGATAGATACAAGAGCACAACTACTATGCATCTAAATGCGTACAAGAATTTAAATATCAYGCTGTTTTATATAGTATATCGTAAGTCTAAAATGCACAGTCGAATATGTTCAGTGGAAATATCTTATGATTTAATAACTTATAAATATGTTTCAAAAGTGAAACATGATTTCAAATAATATTATAATTATTATAAAACACACATATTAATTAAGTGTTTCTGTATTTGTTAGACACTTTCTTAAATACATAGGTAATTATAATATTATAATGGCTATACTAAAAGTAAGAATATAGCATACCTAGGTGTGCTCAACATCGTGTYGTGAAATAATTAGTAAATTTGTGAAATACGATAGTGACAACAACCTCCAAACAACGAAATGAAACCACCGACCAGTTTAACCCGCGAAAAAAAACCACCGCGGTAGTTAATTCAAAATGCACACACAGATTGTACTATGATGCTTATTTTGCAACGGCCATACACCCGTGTCTATCATTTTTCAGCAACAATTCCGTTAGTCAGGTTTACCCAATTCATCAAATAGGATGTCTTCAAAAGTTCAAATTCACGTGATATTATAAATTTTTAATAATCAGGTCATTTAACTGTATTAACTATAATTATTACTATTATTAGATTAATGTAAAAAAATAATAACTGGTAATTTAATTTAATTACATTAAAAAAAAACACATTTTATTTAAAAACCTAGTATTTGCCAGAATTTTCAAAATTGAGTTACTAAATCAATAATTTATTCAATTAGTCGTAGGATTATGATATGGACATTTTATGTACATACGTTATGAAACAAATTTATATATGACAAGATGATATTATGGCGTTTTTATTTATTATATTTGAATAGTTTAGTCTAGTCAAATTTATTTTTATTTRCCTTAAGCTTGTATGGAACACTCGTAATGATTTGAACATCGTTTTAATTATACTTTTCGGGTTTATCTATATTACATTTTTTTGAATATTTGTTATGATGATATATTATGTAGGCATAATTTACTTTTTGGCACAAARGTATTTGGTCTAATTAAACATAAAAACCGAAATACAAAATCTATAATATCTATATAAATTAAATGTATATTGTAAAAGCATATGGTTATTAAATTAATAAAATATATGGACAAATTAACAAAAAATAATAATATAGTGAATATAGATTAAAGATTTATACTTAAATAGTTTTGTCTTTGTTGACGTAATTATCTATTTAAATCTAATAATTATCTCTTACCTATGCAGTTTTATATAAATTTGTATTGTACCTACGAAGTTAAGAATGCCATTATAAGATAACTTAAAAAACAAAATGAAAACACTAAAATAAATTATACCTATACCAACCTATTATGTTTTTTGTTTGAACGGCTTTTAGTGTAACTTCGGGTTAATCTATAGAAATTATGTACCGTAATTATATTTTTGATTAGATGCCATTCTCTTTCTTACACCTAAATATACAAAGAGAATATTGWTGAAATGTCAAAGTAATTACACAAACTATACCTATTTAGTATAGGTATGAGTAGGTGATATTTTTTTAACGGCTTATTTTTGATACATTTGTGTCGTAGTTCAAACACTTACAATCATTTATATAATTATATTTTAATGTAAAGTTTGGATTAAACAATRAATTCTGAAAATATTAATTATACTGGTACATCATACTCGTATAGTGACGTTATTGTGTAATCCGAGACATAAAAATTTTACGGCGTATGATAGTTTGCCGAGAGAAATATTTGTCCTCGCAAATTTAAGTTATTGTGCATAAATTATTTTTTATTAGGTAATAGCTAATAACATGTATTATGGTATTAGGCGGGTATGAAACGTATAATCAAAAATCGAACAAATTATTTTTAGCCTAGTAAAACCACGATATTGCGTATCTATATGCCATCATATTACAAATATTACGCCAACTAGGCACCTATACAATGAAAACTCAAAAATATTTTTAATTTGTAAAAATTATAATACATTTTAAATATTGTTTACTACGACGACTCTTTAACCATCGATTCCCATTCTCATATTGTCTAAGCCTTTACTTATATCTTAGTATTTATAAATTTTATTAACTCAGATAACTTTTATTTAGATTTAGATGCCTTAACATTTAAAAAAAAATCTAATCTGTTTAACAATTTTCAGTAAAAACTCTATTCAATAAAAGCAAATAATCTTTTATTGCCATAGTGCGCATCTCTGCAAACCTCCAAGTATTAAATATAATATGATTGTTAAAATGTTTGTTGAAATTAGTGATGTCAAAGCGTTATCACTTACATATATTAAATTTGAATWCTTTAAATACACAGATATAAAGATTTTTTTTAATGGAAAACAATTTGGAATTTTCTATGGACCCTTCACACGTATGACACGCATACTAATTAATAATTAATATGTTATTTTTTTTATTTTTTTATTATTATTAATATAGTGGGAACACGTGGCAACGCATATTGCCAWCGAGTGTGGGGTGGTACTTTAAGGGTTATTTTCGTGTACCATTTGTTAGTAGGTTATTAATAGTTGGTAGGTCGTAACACGTATTTTTTTATGTGTGACAACTGTGACAAGGATATGTAGCTAAAAATGCCGGCTGGTCACCCATCCGAGAGGTAGCAACTGCGGTCAGTACGAACGCTCAGTGCGTTTCCGCAGATTAAGCGTACGACCGCGCCTTACCAAGCCATTAATATGTTATTGATTTTATTGTTACTATATAATATGTTATATCGAATTTAAAAAGTTTCACTATTGATGGCCTAAAACCAGAGAACGACTCGGCCAACAAGATTTAATTCTGAACTGTAAATTACAAGCTCCATTTACATAAGTTGTGTAAAAATAACTTAAATACTTCATTGATTTTATTAAACGTGTTGTAAGAAATATGAACATTCCCCCCAATAAATGATGTTATATCTACTTAATATTTAGGTAACTCTTAAAACAAACCAAGGCAAAACGTCCGTTAATACATAAATAACATTATATATTTTCACTTTTCTACGGCCAATTAGTTATTGCGTCACATTTGCATTTATATATAATCAATACTTGATTCTAGTTACTAACTTTGGATTCAGGATTAAACATCTTAATTATAATCATTACTTCAGCTGCAGCACGGTTACCTATTATGGTTGATATACCAAGGCACGTCCTGTACCATAATTATTATGATGTGCATAATAATATTGTGATGAATGGAACGTCTGAAACTGTATCTTGCAYGAGTTGCAGTCTGCAGCGTGCAGGCATATAGGTAGATGCACTAGGTGCATCAGATAATTATTGTTATTATTAGCGATTGGAAAGATATGCATTAAAAATGTATTAAACATGATGCAATTTATTGAATTAGACAAAAATTACCAAATGTGTACTAACATTATATGGTTGTATAAGATATTTAAATTTAATTCATAAAAATTAAATTTTTCAATCAGATAATCACTTCAAATCGCGCGGTTCGGAATATAATAAGATAAATTAAAGTAAATAACAATTATTCGTTGGTATTTTGTTATTGCGTTTGATACATTTTCAGAATTTATTACAATGTACTTAAAATATACCAAAATACCTATACAAAATTTCTATAAAATTTCAAGAAATTATTTTTTAAATATTCTTGCTTCACGATTAATAGTTAACAATATCACGTTTCTATCATTTATAATTTAATATCAAAAACTAAATAACCCAATAATTATTAATATTGTTTATACTTTAAAAGTCTATATATCAGTTGCAATGTATGCACTGTTGAGTAGGTATTGACAAAATATGCCACAACTATCCAATTCAGTTGCTTATCAGTAGAGGTATATTATGCCTATACATTTATGAAAACATTTTATTTATCAAATCAGCTTAAATTCAAATTATGACATTGCAAACTCTAATTAATGACTCAGTACCTATTCCTTATAAACACGTAAGTATACCTACTTGAATTTCTGTAATGATCATAGTATTTTTCTCGCATATACCTAAATATTCTATACCTACATTTTGCATTTCCATTGGTTGGTATTCGATGAATACAGTATATTCGTTCAAACACCACAAGTCAAACAAGCAAGAGTCGGATTAAGCAAAATAGAAGTTAAACAAGAAATCATTATATTCGGCTGTACAGTAGATGACAAATGCACAACTTACTAAAGTAAAAATATAATTTGAATTAATACATTTTTAAAACAAAAAATATAATTCTACAATATAATTATATTTCAATATTATATTATCGTCATACTATCAATTACTATTGTATCATATTATATTAACAGTTTCATAATATCGAAAAGCTAAAARCACGCCAATAATAATTAATACACCAAACTACATGT